ATAGAGATGAGGTATCGCTGCCCAGGCGGGTCTTGAACCCGCGGGCTCAGGCAATCCACTCACCTCAGCCTCCCAAAGGCGTGGGCTTACAGGCTGAGCCACCAAGCCCGGCTGCAGTCTCACTTCTTGTGGCATTCTAAATGTCCCTTGGTATTCAGGAAGCCATTTGGGGAGACTATCTCCCAGGACAGTTGATCTCTTTCTGCCACAACCAATGCAATCACCAGGGGAGCATCTTGGAGTTTGCTGTAACTACACCTGCTCAAATTCCCACTGCCCCTTTCATTTCATCATTATCACATGTAACAAGAATTTATTTGACCCCATTCTGTGCTGGGTACAGTCCTGAGTGCTGAGAACACAACAGCAAACAAGACTATCAAGGTCCAGCTCCACCACTTTCCATCTAGTGATTGATGCTGAGACAAAGACAGGCAGATACAAGACAGAGCAATCACAAGTTCATTACTGGGGAAGCACAGGGCACAGCACTGTGGACCAGGTGACCGGGACCCCCACACAGTCAGGGCAAGGGGAAGCTTCTAGACAGTTAGTAACTCGGGAATCAAGATCTGAAGGCTGCTTAGGAGTGAGCCCATGAAAGGGAGGAGGGAAGCCGGGCTCGGTGGCTCAGCCTGTAATCCCGTGCCTTTGGGAGGCTGAGGTGAGTGGATTGCCTGAGCCCGCGGGTTCGAGACCCGCCTGGGCAGTGAGACCTCATCTCTACAATAAAATCAAAAAATCAGTCGGGCATGGTAGCGCATGCCTGTAGTTCCGGCTACTCAGAAGGCTGAGACGGAAGGATCGCCAGAGCCCAGCGGGTCGAGGCTGCGGTGGCCGGGAGCGGCCACTGCACTCCAGTCTGGGCGACAGAGTGAGACTCCAACTCAAAAAAAAAAAAAAGAAAGGGAAGAGGGAGGTAGAGGCCACACAGGCAAAGGAAAGGTCCCAGGTAGGAGAGACTGTGGCCCATGGGAGTAGTTGAGACAAGTTCTGTTTTACTAAGGGATGCTAGATCTAGGGGGTGAATGCTGAGCAGTGAGTGGGATTGGGTCATGTAGGGCCTTGTCCACCTTGTTAAGAAGTTGACAAGGTAGCCGGGCATGGTGATGCGTGCCTACAGTTCCAGCTACTCGGAAGACTGAGGCAAAAGGATCCCCTGAGCCCAGCAGATCAAAGCTGCGGTGGCCATGAGCAGCGTGCCACTGCACTCCAGCCTGGGCTACAAAATGAGACTCTGACTCAAAAGAAAAAAAAGTTTACAAGGGCCAAGCACAGTGGCTTACACCTATAATCCCAGCATTTTGAGAGGCGGAGGTGAGAGAAGTACCTGAGTCCAGGGGTTTGAGACCTGCCTGGGCAATTTGACAAGACCTCATCTCTACAATAAATTTAAAAAATCAGCCAGGTGTGGCAGCACATACTTGTAGTTCCAGCTACTTGGAAGGCTGAGGCAGAAGGATTACCTGAGCCCAACAGGTTGAGACTGCAATGACTGTGAGTGTACCACTGCACTCCAGCCTGGGCGACAG